GTGGTAAATGTTTATTTTTAATGCAGGCCTATCACATAAATGAAAGGATTGATTGATGACTTGAAGAACTTAAATTGCAAGGATAAAGAGATGGCCAAACTTAGAAAAGAGATGTCGGTGCAATCCAAACCGGAACACTGTTCGGTAATTGGGTCATATCTAGAGCTATATATCTCAGATTTAGGTCCAATTTATATGGATGAAAAGGTAAGAAATAGGCCTACAACTTTCATATGGAGCCCAAGATCTAAAAAGGCCATTATCAAGTCCAAATTATAGCAACAACAAAGAAGCCCGAATCTGTCTTCCAGCCCGAGCACTGTTCAGTATTTTGGCCATATCTGGAGTTCTAGAAGTCCAAATGAGCTGAAATTTTTAACAAGAAAGTTGAGACAATTGCCTACAACTTTCATGTTTGTAACTGGCTCCAATTTTGACGTTATCAATGACGTTTTGGGCAGACAAGAGAAGATAAGGATTGTCACCAAGTCAAAAGTTGGTCACCCACTTATCAATTAGTCATCAAATCAATACTTCCTAATTTTGGCCTATAAAAGGAGGCATTTGCCATGCATTTAGGCATCTTGGTTTCCAGATCAAGATTATGCTCTTCCTTTCTCTCTTTGTATTTTTTTGTAATGTTTATGCTTTACTTTCATTAATATTAAGTTTATGCCTTTCATTTCCTTTCCTTTACTTAGTGAACTTTTATGTTCTTATTTTGTTTATCTATTTTGCTTTCTTTCATTATGTCTAGCTAAGTTAATTATGTCAAGGTGAAAAGGTTACACTAATGGTGTGAGAATAAGTATAATGTAAACTTAATATGGACTTTAATGTTTGATACTAACATGTTTTATATTTGTTATCTTGTTCACTCTTTAATACTTTGCTTGTTAAATGACTAATCTTGATTTATGTTATATAACACTTGGTACAACAAATGCTTGGCACTTTCATAGCCCATAATGTATGGTATAACCGACACCTGAGCTATGAAAGGAACTTGATTTGTTGTTAACATAAGTTATAATCATGAATGCTTGACGAGATTTACAAGTATTAGCATTAATTGAATAAGATGACTAATGTAATCATGTTAACAATATATAATCTGATTGGAACCTCCTTTGTGTGTGGTTTCCATTTCAATAATAAGAGTTTATACTATACTTGTTTGATATACCATTAGTGGAACCTCTAACCTTGACATTTGTTATTATTATTGTTTAATCCTTACATTAATTTTCCACCTCCAAGTTCTCATCATCATCTTCTTCTTCTCTTTCTTTATTATTATTATTATTACTACTACTACTATTATTATTATTACTACTACTATTATTATTATTATTACTATTATTATTATTATTATTAATATTATTAGTATTATTATTAGTATTATTATTATTATTATTGTTATTATTATTATTGTTATTGTTGTTGTTGTTATTGTTATTGTTATTGTATTATTGTTATTTATAATTTGTACAAATAACCTCCCTGTGGTTCGACCCCGGTCTTGCCGGGTTATTTATTACTTCGACACTCCTGCACTTGGGAGAAGACAACAATCTTTTCGTCGTGTCACTACACATTATAAAGAAGAGAAATATAAATAAACTAGATAAGAACAAAGTTATGATGAAAAGTATAAATAATATATTCATAAAAAAAAACTTAAAGATTACAAAAATATAAAAAAGAGAGAGCAAGAATATGATATTAATATGAAAACTAAGATGCTTAAATGTATAGCAAATGCATTGTTTTATAGGTCAAAATTCAAAACTATTGATTTGATGACTAATTGTTGAGTGGGTGACTATTTCTTGACTTTATGACAATCTTTATTTTTTTTTGAATAAAATATCATTGATAACATCATAATTTAACAAGATAGTGTTTATGAAAATAGAAAATTGTTTTCGCTTTCTAACAAAACAAATCAGTGTATTTGGACTTCTAGAACTCAAGATATAGGCTGAATACTGAATAATATCTAGGCTGTAGGAAAGATTTCAATCTTCGTTATTGCTACAATTTAAAGTTGAAAACGACCTTTTTAAATCTTGGACTCTTCATAAAAGTTTTAAGCTTATGTTTTAGCTTTTCATCCATATAAAACAGACTTAAATCCAAGTTCTACATCTCTATTTATGATCCAATAACCTAATGATATTCCAATTTGAATTCAACCAACATTTGTTTTCTAAACTTAACCCTCTCTTTGTCTTCTTAATTTTAGTAGTTAAACTCATTAATCAATCATTCAATTTATGTGATAGACTTGTATTTAAGATAAAAATTTACTATAAATTCAATGTATCTTATATTATCAAACTTGTTATTATAAAATATGTTTTAGTTAATGAGTTATTAATACTTCAAATACAAAATAATGATATAAAACCTTGATAAAAATATATTTTTAAGTATTAGTCATTGGGCTACATACATTTGTAAGGCTTATTGATTATTGTAGGGAGAGGTTATAAAGTCTGGGAAACAGAAGCTGGAGAGGGGTTGCAAAGCCTAGCCAATATTTCTCCCATCGCCCACCTTGAACCTGACATTGGATTGGAGAGGAATGACTATGCCTTGATTTGAGAAAATCTACGATACCATGCCACACCAAGTTGGAGATAAAGAACTTGTAAACACAGAAAAATCATTTGCAAAATGAGATCGATATTTTTAAAGGATGAGATCTTGTTAACCTCCTGGCACTTATTTATCAAGATTTCAGAGCCATTTGAAAAGCAAAGCCAAAATTTTATTATTGAGAGATTCCAATATGAGAGATCGCCAAAGGATTTACTCTTAATTACTTTGTGCCAAGCCACTTAACAGATGCCATGAGAATTTAAGGTACCTTTTTAGAGAAAAGAATTGTTGATAGAAGAGATGACTTTGGTAATGCCCTTTAGCATAGGAAAAACAAACATGTAGTACAGAGATAGAGAATTTAAAATTGATTTTTATCATACTTATCTTTCTAGCTATACTAAAAAACTTCCCTTTCCATGTGCTTAGCTTTGCTCTGATTGTGAACAACACTGGTTTTCAAGTGGAGAGCTTACTTGGATTGGCATCAAAAGATAACCTAAGATATCTGACCATAAAAGTAATTCAGTGTGGTTTGAAATGCCAAAAAACATCATTTTGGTGATTTTTTAATCATTTGAAATCACATTAAAAGATTTAGATTTATAAACTAAACAAACATTATCTCCAATTCATATGATTCATAACATGTTATTTGAAGTTTGAAAACAAAAACCATAATTTTAACTATTTTACATGCCTTTTTGAATAACATCTGATTAGTATTTTAAAATTAAAAAATAAAAACAATGGAAACAAAAACATATTTGATTAAAAAGATAAAAATAGATCTAGCAATATTCCGTTTCATTTTATTGATAAAAAATATGATAGAAGTTTATGGATTAACGAGTTTTTTTGTCTTTATTTGGAACAACTCGTGAAAAGAATGACCATAGAAGGGGTCATGACCTATAATCTTTAGGCTCATCCAAATTTTAAGACCATACGTATGTGAGTCTAGCGAGATATCAGACTCATCATCTTTCATGGATTTAACCAAGCGCTAAGTCTAGAGGTCAGTGGGATGCGCTGAGCTTGCACTCTTTTTAACTCTAAAAGTATTTTTAGCTTTATAGTAAGATCATAAGTATTTTATCTTAACAATAAAAAGATATTTTACTTATATGTGAACTAGTTTTTCTTTCATGAAGGAGACCTTAAGGGCTATAAAATGAACCAATGTAACCTTATCTAGCGGATAAATTCAGTTTTTCTCTACTACAAATGTCACACACACACAAACATATGACTTTCTTCTAAAAGAAAGCTATTTTTTTCTCTCTTATGATACTTATTTAATTATTAGAGAGTTTTTAAACTCAAAAAAATAGATTTTTTTTAAATATCAAACATGATTTATCAAAAAAAAATAGACTAAATTGTCAAAATAATAAGATTAACAAATTTATGCAACACATATCTTGTACTTTAAACCCATGAGATATAATTGAGTTTCATCGTAAGTTTTTTATAAATAATTTTTGATGAAATTATTTTTTTCTTGTATTTTTATTATAAAACAGTAAATAAACCTCCACAGTCGAGATAGTCTCCAAAGCATCTTTTAGAATTCCAAGGACTTCTCCAATGGAAAAGCAATACGAGGAGCTTAAAAAACTATAAAAGTAGCTTTTTATTTCTTAATTTTGGATCTTTAAAGTAATAACTATATGGGATGCTATTTTTTTTTTTCAAAATAAATAGTCATTCTTATACATAAAATAAAGGAAAAAATTAAACTAACTTTTCTCTTTAAACTTCACTTGTTTTTTCCTCATTCTATGTAAAATCTAAAATAGTTTATTAAAATGCATTTTTCCTTCGGACCATCTTACAATGTTTGTTTATTTACCATGATATTAAATTATTTTCAAGAACAGGCTTGCTTCATGAAGTGTCTTAAAATTCAAACCTCAACAGTAAACCGATGATCCGTACATGCCAATGTACCCCCACATTCTCTGACAAAATTATGCTGTCGGAGTGTGCAAATGGATGCAGGTTTCTAAAGTCATACATGTACTTGATGTTATTGACCGAAAATCTTGCTTTACCCCTATGGAACGGATCTTTATTGAATAATCTACTCCATTCAATAATTTAAATTATTATTAAATAATATTTTAAAATATAGTTTATTTTATTTTTTAATATATCATTTTAAGTAAAATTTTTGCTGTGTAAATTTCTACATATTTTATTATTTTATATTTAATTTTTATTAAATATTAAATAATAAAATTTAAATTTATGACCATTTTATTATTATTATTATCAAGACTTAATGCTATATTAAAAGGATAACTTAATTTAATAATTTAATTATTATATGAAATTTTAAAATATAATTTATATTATTTTTAATTATAAACAGGGGAAGAATAGAGAAATTTGTGCAGCTAAACAGGCAAATCACCCTTGCATTAAACCTTGCTTCTCTCAGGTGTTAACAACTAACATCTGTGAGGAAAACCAGACCTTATACATCTCAAACCTATGCATTCTTTTCATGGGTTCTAAGTTAGTAATTAATTTGACATAAGAACCCAGCAGGGTTTCCAAGAGAGAATACATGAAAAAAAAAACAGGATCTCGAATCACAATTGAGAATAGATGTTAAAAAAAGAGAAGCTAAATATAGTGTAGCTTCATCTTAAGCCATCTTCTCCAAGCAAGCATGCACCGCCATCACCCTACTGATCATCTTTTCACCTGAGCATTGATGTTAGAGATCGAAAAACTACTTCTTCACAAGGGATAGTAAGGCCCATATCATGATCAAAGCCAAATTCTTCTTCTGCTCTTTGAAGCAAGGACTGAAACTCAGGGTGGCTCAAAAATGAGATTGGAACAATGTATCTACTTCTGTTTTCACCAACATACACAGCAAAGTGCCCTTTTGGCACGTCAAGAGGGAGGCCATCATCATCATAGCCATGTTTCTTGCCTAAACTCGAGCATCTCTTGAGGATTTGCTTGAGGACTGCTGTTTGAGGTAGTTTGTGTGATTTTCTAATAGCCATTTGGAGTTTGAGAGAAGGTGTGGTGAGAAAGGGTTAGTCTTAAGAGAGATAACAGTGTGTACTTGTAGTAAAAGGTGACGGTGGTGATGGGAGGATTGCGGGTGATAGGGGTATTTATGAAGAAGTCAAGGGGGAGAGAAAAAGAGAGACGGTGTGAGATAGATAGGAAGAGGGGTCATGTGGAGTGTGGGGGATAAGGACATGCCACGGGCGTTTTGGGGTATGTGTACGTGAAGCAAGGACATGATGGGAGCAAGCTTACTGGGTTTGCAATTCTATGTTGGCCTTCCTAATGACATTAAGGACCCCCCTCTCGCTCTCAGCTTTAATTTTCAACTTGCCTTGTTGAAAAAAGGAAAAAAAATTATAAGAACTTGCATTTAATTAGATGGAAGAGGTTTAATCTGCTTGTGCTTCTCTTATTTTCATATTTTTCAGCATTTTAGCTTGAAGTTCAGTCCTTCATGCAAATTGTTAGCAACCCTTTCAACTCACCTCCACTTCGCAATTGATTGCTATCTTTTACGCTCTTTCAAGTTCACAAAAACCCAGCTCATTTTGCCTTGTAGTTTTCATTTCCATTTCTGGTGAGAACTCACATATATCATCTTCGAGGAATCTCCATCTTCTCAACTGCTTCGTCCACAATACCTTGGTCTTATGTCCTTGGTTCACTTAAGACAAGATAATGTATCGAGAATAGGGCTACTCGGTTTTTCAGTCTCTACCTAGCTATAAAAGTCTTCATCCTCAGTCTTCGCTATAAAAAACATCTCTATCTATAAGATTAATGTTTATTAATCTCTCTCTCTCTCTCTCTCTCACACACACACACACCCCTGAAATCACGTACACACAATAAGCGTACTGGAGAGTACAAGCCTGTTGACGCTTTGGTTTCTTGTGGTTGCAGGGCTTGTGATTCAGTGGAGCGTGGACCAAAACAACATCTCCTACACAGTACAGTTCGTGCGTCCAAATAGTCGAAAACCTATGTGTATATCACCGCAAGCTATTCAGTTTTTTTGACCTTTGCAGCTTTACCCGCATATTGTAGCATGACACCTGTAACGGGGTTAAACATGTAAGAGGGTATGCGGATGAAAACAATGCTGGAACGACACAGTGGACAGTGATATATAGCTTGTTCTTTGACAGAATCAATAACAGGGGTTAACGATAAGTGATAGATAGTTAAGTTAGATAATATTTATGTAGTTTTATTTATTAAGAGTAGAATAATATTTTTAGTTTAATTTATATATATTTTATTTATATTTAAGTTAAGGTTATATATTCATAATATATAAATTATTCAGAATTTTAGCTTCGTTTTTGTGTTTGATCTTAATTATTTTAACATGGTATCAGAGCTGGTTTTATAAAATGAAGCTTAATTTCAAACACAGCTTTGCAAATCCAACTGAAAGAGATTTTGTCTTTTGCTTCTGCAAAATTTGGTATTTCGTTAGTTTTTGCAATTATTTTGGTATTTTATTTTCCCTTCAACTTTTGTAATTTGGTATTTGCATTCAGTTTCTACAAATTTATTTTGTGTTTTGGAGTAATCGTATAATTTTGAGAAGTTTTTGTAATCTCTGTTCAGTTTCTGCAATTTGATATTTTATTTTTCACTGCTTTTGCATTCTAGTTCTCTGTGATTGTTGATTATGGGTACTAAAAGAGATAATTCGCTTTAATCTGTAAGTGTGAGGTTGGATGGTAAGAACTATTCGTATTAGAGCTATGTAATGATAAATTTTTTTAAGGGTAAGAAGATGTGGGGGTATGTTAATGGAACTTATATAATACCTAAAAATGTTGAGGAGGGGGATGCTTTTTTGATAGATACATGGGAAGCAAATAATGCAAAGATCATTACTTGGATCAACAATTCTGTTTAGCATTCGATAGGCACGCAGTTGGCAAAGTATGAGACAACAAAAGAGGTTTGGGATCATTTACAAAAGTTATTCACGCAATCAAATTTTGCAAAACAGTATCAATTAGAGAATGACATATGAGTTCTTCATCAGAAGAATATGAGTATTCAAGAGTTTTATTCTGCTATGACAGATCTTTGGAATCAATTGACTCTTATAGAATCGGTAGAATTAAAGGCATGCGGTGCTTATATTGAGCGTAGAGAGCAGCAACGATTAATATAGTTTTTAACAGCACTTCGCAGTGACTTCAAAGGACTTAGAGGTTCAATTTTGCATCGTTCTCCACTGCCTTCTGTTGACTCTGTTGTGAGTAATTTATTGGCTGAAGAAATATGTCTTCAATCTTATTCTGAAAAGAAAATTCTTTCTGCTTCAAATCCTTGAGTACTAGCAGTACCTTCTAAGCCATTCTCTAATCATTAGAAGAAACCTTACACAAGGGTTGGCTTCGATGAGCGTAGTTTCTATAAGCAGAAAGGTCATTGGAAGGTTCAGTGTCCTAAGTTGAGACAACAAAATCAAGCTTGGAAGTCTGGCAGTCAGTCATAACTTATTGCTCACAGACCACCTCAAGGTTATAAACCATCACACCATAATACTGCAACAATAACTTCCCCAGGCTTTATTACCGATCCCAATACTTTGGCTGAGCAATTTCAGAAGTTTCTCTCCTTGCAGCCACAAGCAATGTCCGCTTCTTCTTCCATAGGTCAGTTGCCTCATAGTTCCTCAGGTAAATCACACTCTGAATGGGTCTTGGATTCTGGTGCTTCTCATCATATGTCTTCAAATTCCTCATCTTTTACCTCTGTGTCCCCTTTGTCCTCCATTCCTGTTATGACTGCTAATGACACTCCTATGCCCTTAGCAGGTGTTGGTTCTGTTATCACACCTCACTTGTCTCTCCCTAATGTTTATCTTATTCCAAAACTCAAATTGAATCTTGCATCTGTTGGTCAAATATGTGATTCTGGTGATTATTTAGTCATGTTTTCGGGTTATTTTTGTTGTATATAGGATCTGCAGTCTCAGAAGGTGATTGGGACAGGCCGTAGGGAGAATGGAATATATATTTTGGATGAGCTAAAAGTGCCAGTTGCTACTGCCCCTGCTGCTACTACTACTATTGATTTGTCTTCCTTTCGTTTAAGTATTTCATTTTCTAGTTTTTATTTATGGCCTTCCTGTCTAGGTCATGTTTCATCTTCTCGTTTGAGATTTTTGGCATCCTCAGGAGCTTTAGGAAATTTAAAAAATTATGACATTTCTGATTGTAGTGGATGTAAACTGATAAAATTTTCTACTTTACCTTTTAATCGAAGTATTTCTGTTTCTTCTTCACCATTTGATTTGATTCATTCTGATGTATGGGGACCTTCTCCTGTTGCCATAAAAGGAGGGTCTCGATATTATATATCTTTTATTGATGATCATACTCGTTATTGTTGGGTTTATTTAATAAAACATCGTTCTGAATTCTTTGAGATATATACAGCTTTTCGAGCTCTTATCAAAACTCAACATTCTACTGTGATTAAATGTTTTAGGTATGATATGGGTGGGGAATACACCTCTAATAAGTTTTGCCAATTGCTTGCCTTAGATGGAACCATCCACTAAACTTCATGTACAGATACTCCTAAGCAAAATGCTGTTGCTAAAAGAAAACATAGGCATATTGTCGAAACTGCTTGTTGTCTGCTTTTGTTCCTAGTGAGTTTTGGGGACAAGCTGTTCTTACTGCAGTAAGTTTGATTAATATAATTCCATCTTCTCATAGTTCTGGTCTATCTCCTTTTGAAAAGTTATATGGTTATGTCCCTGATTATTCCTCATATAGAGTTTTTAGTTGTACTTGTTTCATTCTTCATCCTCATGTAGAACGCAGTAAGATATTCTCTCGATCCGCTGTTTGTGTCTTTCTAGGTTATGGTGAAGGTAAAAAGGGGTATCGTTGTTTTGATCCAATAACTCAGAAACTTTATGTGTCTCGTCATGTTGTCTTTCTTGAGCATATATCTTTCTTTTCTATTTCATCTATTCCACCCACTACTCATAACATGACTAAATCTGATATTATTCATATAGATCCCTTTTCAGAGGATTCTGGTAATGATACCTCTCCCCATATTTGATCAATTTGTACTCCTAACTTTACAGGTATTGGTACTTTACTCTCTAGCACACCTGAAGCTCCATTCTCATCTACAGCCCCTCAAACTTCATATGAGATTATGGATCCACCTCTACGCCAGTCCATCCATATTCGTAAGTCCACAAAACTACTAGATTTTGCTTATTCTTCATCATTTACTTCTTTTTTAGCTTCTATTCATTGTCTCTTTGAGCCCTCTTCCTATAAAGAGGCAATTCTTGATCCACTTTGGCAGCAAGTTATGGATGAAGAACTTTCTATTTTGCATAAGACAGATATTTGAGATCTGGTTTCTCTACCTCCTAGTAAGAGTGTTTTTGGTTGTTGTTGGGTGTATAAGATTAAAACTAATTCTGATGGGTCTATTGAGGATACAAAGCTAGGCTAGTTGCAAAAGAATATTCTCAATAATATGGTATGGATTATGAGGAGACATTTGCCCCGGTTGCAAAAATGACTACTATTGATACTCTTATTGCCGTAGCTTTGATTAGTCAATGGCATATTTCTCAGCTTGATGTTAAAAATGCCTTCTTGAATGGAGATCTTCAAGAAGAAGTTTACATGGCACCTTCTTCTCGTATTTCACATGACTGTGGATATGTTTGTAAGCTTAAGGAAGCATTATATGGTCTCAAACAAGCACCCCCTGCTTGGTTTGAGAAATTCTCTATTGTGATCTCATCTCTTGGTTTTGTTTCTAGCAGTCGTGATTCTGCTCTTTTTATTAAGTGCACTAATGTAGGTCGTATCATTCTGTCTTTATATGTTGATGACATGATTATTACTGGTGATGACATTGATGGCATGTCAGGTTGGAAGACAGAGTTGGCTAGACGATTTGAAATGAAGGATTTGAGTTATCTTTGATATTTTCTAGGTATTGAGGTAGCATACTCACCTAGAGGTTACCTTCTTTCTCAGTCGAAATATGTTGCAGATATTCTTGAGCGGGCTAGACTTACTAATAACAAGACTATAGATATTCTCATTGAGGTTAACGCAAGGTACTCTTCTTCTGATGGTTTACCTTTGATAAATCCTACTTTATACTGCACTATTGTTGGGAGTTTGGTATATCTCACCATTACTCGTCCAGATATTGCATATGTTGTTCATGTTGTTAGTTATTTTGTTGCTTCTCCTACTACTGTTCACTAGGCTGCTGTTCTTTTTATTTTGCGATATCTTCGGGTATAGTTTTTCAGAGTCTTTTACTTTCATCCACCTCTTTTTTGGAGTTGCGTGCATACTCTAATACTGATCATGGTAGTGATCTCATAGATCGCAAGTCTGTTATCGGGTTTTGTATCTTTTTAGGTGATTTTCTTATTTCTTAGAAAAGCAAGAAACAATTTATTGTTTCTCAATCATCCACCGAAGCAGAATATCATGCCATGACATCTACTACTAAAAAGATTGCTTGGTTACGTTGGTTATTTACTGATATGGGAGTTTCCTTTTCTTATCCTACTCCTATGTATTGTGACAACCAGAGTTCTATTCAGATTGCTCACAACTCGGTTTTTCATGAGCGAACTAAGCACATTGAGATCGATTGTCATCTTACTCGTCATCATCTTAAGCATGGCACCATTGCTTTGCCTTTTGTTCCTTCTTCCTTGCAAATTGCAGATTTCTTCACCAAGACACATTCCATCTCTCATTTTTATTTTCTAGTTGGCAAACTCTCGATTCTCGTAGCTGCCGCATCATGAGTTTGAGGGAAGATGTTAAATAATATTTATGTAGCCTTATTTATTAAGGGTAGAATAGTACTTTCAATTTAATCTATATATACTTTATTTGTATTTAGTTTAAAGTTAATCATTCATAATATACAGATTATTCAGAATTCTAGCATTCTTTTTGTGTTTGATCTTAATTATTTTAACAAGTTCAAGACTTAACAAAAACATTAGTAGCATGAATGGCAACATGCATAGGTAATGACAACATGCATTAGTAGTTATAGATTTGGTAACAGTGTATTCGGTAGGATATGGGTTAAGGTTCGTCGTAAATTTTAACTTAGACTGCGGAGAGTCCAAGGCATGCAAACACATCTATTCTGGCAATTTGTGAGTTGTCATAATAGACAACTGGTTTGTTAGGTGGCAGGCTAGGATGAGAAGAAACAATTGGGGAAGTTTTTGCGGTTGATTGTTTTGGGAAAAACTAATCGGGTGTGTTCTAAGTCTTAGGGGATGATTTTTGTTATAATTTTTCATGTTATTACACTTTAAATAGGCTACATATAAGTGTGTACCTTGCAATTTTTATGTGTAGGTAGAAACCATTGGGCATAGCACACAAATACGGATTGATATGTTTCTTTTGTTGAGATTACTAAAAGGTTGTTATGGTTCCTGTATTTTAAGTGTGCTAAACTATGCATATTCTCTCTACTTGTGTATTTCTGCTAGTGCGAATTTTATTTTTTTTGATGAAGAGAAACACTTAATTATTAAACAAGCACGAGAGGATTAATAAAAAAGAAGGTTAACAGGGAGCTGAGCTGCCGCATAGAAGTTGAGATTTTGATGAGAAAATCGACCCTGTGACAACACCCCTTTATTCTTGAGTATTCGATCTGTAAGTAATCTAATCTCCATATGATTATGATGAAGGTTATTAGCTGAACTTTCATGAAATAATGGCAAGTACAACTGGCTTCTCTGAATCCTATATAATTGCAATGAAATGATTTGACGGGCATGGAACTGCAGCGGAACAAGAGTTGAACTGTTGTTCCATCATATGTTAGATACTAAAGCAGCCGGACATCAGCTTTGGTTTCTAAAGGAGCCGCCATGCGTGCTTAAGCTTGTTTTCCATGATAATCACGATTTTTGCAAAGGGAATGAAGAAGCCAAGGCGGCTCTAGATGGCCAGATAATAATGGAAGTAATTGTGCCTTCTTGCTAAATTTGCAAACCTATCTATCAGATTATCCAGAACAGAAGTACTGTAATGCTTCTAGAAAAAAACAAGGGTTAATATCTCAACAATAGAAGGCTTCCTCCATGGTCCAATACAAACCACTATCACCAGAATAGGAGATATGTATAAATCTACTTAAAATCTGCACCACTGGTTTTTTCCTAGCCTGGCTCCATTTCAGAAAAGTTATGTCTCCATGTTCTGAGGCTGAGAAAGCGATCTGCAAAGAACTAAGTTTAATTCACAATACGGAAATGTCCAGTATATCTGTCACTCTCTCTTTGTTTTCTGAACCTCCCAATGTCCATGACAGTGTCTTTACTCTCAATTCACCAACTAGAACTTTATCGTCGTTCGAATCCCATACTTAGAAACCATCAAAATTTCAAAAAGTTCTCACACACAAAAAAGAAGGAAAATCAACCAAAAAGTAGGAAGTCAAAACTCAAAAGGTAATAACCAGGGAATAACATTTACCACTGTCCATTACTAACGTGAAGGCCGAAACCAGCATGAAAATTTTTCCCCTGAATGGACCACTTGAAATAAATCATAAATACCCACATAGAAATAACTGGCGTGCACAGTACACGCATGCACACTATATATGTGTGACACATACCGTACAAATATAATATAAACGCGTGAGACGGAAAAATTGCTGTACAGCTAAACCAACTAATTAAGAGAAGGGAAAAAAAATTACCCTTAACGTCGCCGTCTTTGAGAGAAGCTCTCCCATGTTCTGTGAACGAGATTGATTGAGAGAATGGACAATGGAAATATGCGACTGCAAAGGCCCACCATTCTCACTGAAATGCGGTGCCCCGCTAAACCAAGAGACTAATGTATTTTCTTTATAGTTGATAATGACCTTGCCTTTTTTGAAGCACATGAAGGCCATGTTACTCTTGCCCCCAAACTCCTGTAAAGACAACATAGTAAGGTCTTTCTTTTAACATCATTTCAACTGCTGCACACGGCTACTTTACCAAGCAAATCATGTCTCAAACTGTAACTGCCTAGTGCCCACTTGGGATCTTTTATGAACAAACCCAAATTACGTCAATACCCTTGTTAGTTGCATCAGTCGTCTCTACTAGCTATTGCCAGAAATTTGGCAAGACCTGGAGTCATGACAGTAAGAGAAACAACTATATAAGATGGAACTGTTCATCTCCACATCCACATGTTATTGGCATCTGATAGCAAGTAGCATAAGAATCGAATGGCATTACATCAGTTTATGCCATCAAGATTTGAAAAGGGGAAAACAACTGACCCTGATATGGAATGAAAGAAAATGCGATTGTTAACTTGAATAATCATGTCAGCATGCTCAGTATGGTTCTTTAGTAGAAATTTTATTTAACACAGCAAGTTAACCTGGTTCATAAGAACAACAATATCAGCTGAAAGATTTCTGTGTTGTCCTCTTCGTTCATGTACTCTATGGTCAGGAAACCGATGGTGATGCACTGGAAACGTCAAACAGTCACATGGGTTGTAAGGAAAGTAGTCAGAAACAAAGGGCCCAAGAACGCAGACTTGCAAGTAATACCCAGCTAAGATTATCAATCAGATAAATATTGAGATATTGATCTGTGAAAGCTAAGGACTTCAAATATGACACCAATTAAAAAACGATTGAGCAAGCATTAATAATAAGATTAGGACAGTGTGACACCAATTCAAATATGGCACGTTGCTGGTGGCTTAGACACCACCACCAATTAAAAAACGATTGAGCAAGCAATGGAATTGAAATCACCACGACACCGTATGTACGATCAACGCAAAAGACATAATGGGTGCCCATTTTCACATGCCTTGCATAATAAAGAATCAAAAGGACAGATACAGTTGGTTTTGATTAATGCTTTGAAGGGCCCTCAGCTTCATTAATATGTATTATACAAGTCATTTGTGAAGAGTTTTCAGCACAAGAATACTCTGAACAAATCCGATAATCATTGAAGCCTCAAAGCCATATTAAGCCACGTACCTCATTGTTGTCAGGTTGATGTATTCAGTGGTAAAACATCCCAAGGAACAGTGTGATACAAACACAAATCAAACAAGAGGTACAGTGCTTGAAAGTAACATCAAGCTGATAATTTGATAACAAAATAGTTGCAAGGCCAGAGATAACCTAATCAGTATACCCTTGCTGTTACCCAAAATCTGACAGTATAAGAAAAGGAATATCAGGCATTGGCAGGAGATAATCTAAAAGCTGTTCAAACAGCAAAAAACGTCGTTCTTTTCTCTATATTAATTTAAGAAGGATAAAAAAATGATTGTGCATCTCATTACAGCTAGTAATTTACTCGCCAATATATTCTAAGCATATGTATTAAATCATAAATTCTAATCCAATATATGCCTTCTGTGCACCACAAGTCTGATGAATCGAAAGGCATCTATACAAATCTAGCTATGTTCTCAAATCTAAAAAAGCAGAGAAGTTTCATGCCTGTTTGGAGTGCCTGCATATTGTTTGGAACAAATAAGCACTAGTCAATGTGTTAACGTTAACGTACACATATCAAATACACTTCCTAAAGCACTTAATGCAGACAACAGATATCTGGAGTAAACTTAATTCTTAATAAAATTTAATCAATTGATACATCATTTTTGTTAATTGATACCGAACTATATTTTCATGTATAAGCACAAAAATTGGGAAGATGGTAAGAAAAAAAAAAAAAGAAGGGGGGGAGGGAGGGGGGGTGGCGGGTGTGTACAAAACTACCCTCTGCTGAGAAAATAAGGATCATTGCTACATGCCTATGCCACTGTGTTCTTCAGCCTAAGCCAATGTGAAGTAGAAATCTCAAAACTCTGCATAAGTAAAGTCACTGGTCGGAGGGAGATTTCAACTGTTGATTCTGCCCATCTATCAAGCTTATCTGTCGTCGGAGTTTTGCTATATGAGCTTGCACCTAACACATTGAATCCACACTGTCAAAGAATAGCTTTACAGTTTTCCATGCAAAATGTGACTCATTGGGAATTAGTGAGATTAAAAAACACGCTGCTAATGCAAAAAAGAACATAGAATTCAACAGCTCTTAAATGTTCAAACATAAAACCCATCCATCAATGATAGAAAAAGTTGGTGTTCAATCCACAATCAATTCCAATTTATTTTTTAATTCAATTTTAAATAAACACAAAAGGACAGCAGTTCAGCACAATTGAATAAGAAATTGTAGAGTGAGAAAGCAATGGATGGCAAGAAATATTCTCTATATGTCGAAGGACTAGTTTTTGATCTGCAGAAAAATGGTAATTAATTAGCTTAGTGAAAATTGTCTGTGACTGAGAAACTATAGCGGTTATCAAATAAATTAACTATTGCTCGCCAACTACTTAGAAGTTCAGGAAATCGTTAGAACTTTTAAGATAACCATATATCTGAATTATGCTTTCTTTTCCACTAATCCCCAGCTCCTACAAGATCAAAATTTCCATGAGGTATTGATATACCAGTTTAATGTATTTACTCTGTAGTAGACAGAGCCATTATTGCAGGAAATAGTGCCCTTGTACTGTTTTTTTTCATTCCTTCTGTCCCAGCTGACAGTTTATTACTAGTTCAAATCCTTCAAACAGGCTAGTCCATTAATATGGCATGTCTTACTCCAAGCCACTGTTGAACAAGCATCAAAGGAATTGATACTTCGCAAATATTACCACCAAGAAATTTTTTTATTCATACATAACAAGCCCGAAAGCTAGTTCATATACACCTGCTTGCATTATTATATTCTTCCTTTCTAATTATTTTTGATATATAAGAAAAGAGAGAACGAAAGAAATTCTTTCTGACCTGCTGACGAGCTGCTGCAAGCTGTAGTAGCTCATCTGCTTCAGAGAAATTCATAAACCACTGGGATAGAGGATGATCTTTAGTGTCACCTCTCTTCCTTTTACTTGTATCTTCAACTGGCACTGTACGAAAACATTAGTTAATTTATTCATCCAAAGCAAGGTGAAGAGCATTTACTGGCAGAAGACAGCTAAAATACAGACCAGGAGGAGGCAAAGTAAAACCAGCAGGTAATCTGGGCAAGTTTACAGCTGGATGACTCTGTATGCGAGCTAATAAACCTTCTGAAGGCTCAGGGAATACAATCTCATCGTATGATTCTACAACAACTGGCTTCTTCATTGACAAAGAGCCAGATTCATCTTCTGGGTACAACTTCAAGTGATGATATCTGTAGAAGACCAATTTTAAACTTTTCATTATACTAGAAAGCACAATATTTTTTGGTTCTAACTGACTAGAATTCATTCAATTGAATACCACCAAAATACACTGTCTCACATATTTCCACTATCAGCAGCCATCACAGTCATTAAACTGGAAATCAATTCAGTCTAGATGTTCGGTCAACTATTTGATTATTCCCAAACAAGTGATTGGAGAAAGGAACATTTGGTTTAAGCTACATGCCACTAATACCTTGCAGCTGATCAATCAACCATCTCCAAGGAGACAAACACACGCACTTTTGGTCTGAATTCCCACATTTCAATCTGAACTGCTTTGTCAGAAATTCCATATCTTTTGACATGTAACTGAGCAATCTCCCTCATATGGCAATGCTCTCTCTCTCTCTAGACACACACACACACACACACACCCACATACACATACACACACACACACACACACACACCCACTTTAAATATGTTATGTTGAAAAAGGGAGTTGGCAAATATGAAGCTGAGTGGGAGTTAATTTACATTATATATGGCTCTATCATACCTTTCCATAATTTTACAGCAGTTCATTTTAGCTATGTACTCCAATGACACACATAATGCTTGTCACAAAATCATCTGGCCAGGTCACTAGCTTCTGATAACATTTTATACAGAAATCAGAACCAAATAATAGACAAGGGAACTCACAAGTTCAAAGGCTTATCACAAACATCACTGTGGAAATACAGAGTAATGGCAATCTCAAATTCACCCCAGCCTGCTTCTGATAACTCAAAAGGTGGTGTCTCGATGACTCTTGTAGGATTATTGAAGCTAGAATGAAGCTGAAAAACAGCTCGTTTTATGACTACACCAAGATCCTCATTTGTGGCTCCACGTACATAGACAGTCCACTTATGAGATTGATACCTGATTAACAGAATATTGAAATCATGATCCAAGCACACAACAGACAAAAGAATGGGCATTATCCTGAAGATTATTTAACAACTTACTCGTTTGCCTTTTTGCCAAGCCAGAATGCTATGTTGCCGTAAACTATTGGAACGCTAATCTCAACATCTTTGAGCTTCTTATTCAAAATCTGTGCCAGACCATACACGATAACACAAGGAAAGTAACAGAACTAACAATGCAATGCCTCATGATTCCTAGTTTATTATTACAAGTATAATGATAAACAACACATCAAGCATCAAGCATGCACTCGAAACCAAATACTGTTAACATAAACCACCCAAAATTCACGACCATAGATAACATCCAATTGAGATAAAAGTTAAAACAACAAAGTTTAAGGCTGGGATAAAAAAAATAGCCTCTGCTTTCTTAGTAAGATCATTAATTTAAGAATAAGCAACCTGTCATTTCACATATGCAATAAAATTTGACACTAACATCTCCTATCATATCAACACTCAACCAGTCATAGAAAACAGAGCATTTTACAGAGTTCCAAAAACCTGCTTTCTAAGAAAACAAATTTTACCTTTCTAGGAAATTAAGTAACGGGAAGCAAAGAATTCACATTCAATCACTACACAAACCCCATTAGCACTAAATTAAGCAGCAGTTACAAAACAGTGTTCTTTTCAATTTGGTTAAAAAACTACAGAACAAACAATTTTGAGCTTTTTTTTTCGCAACAACTGCAATAAAATTTACACCAACAAATCCTGTCCACACTGAAAAACCAATCATTAAAAAACAGAGCTTTATTTTTTTTTGGAGTTTCAATATAGAGCTTTCATAAAAACAAGTTTTACCTCTCTGGGCTCAATAATTTTACTAATTGCAGTAACTATAACTATCCAAATCAAAATTAAAACAAAAAAAAAATCACACTCGATCATGACGAAAGGCTAAACCCTAATGAAGCAAATCAGAAAACAAAATCTTTCAATTGGGTTACTAAAAACCTGCATCAAGAAACGATTCTGAGCATCCGGGCAACATTATTTCATTGATTTGAGAGATGTATGGTTATCAAAATTGGAAAAGAAGATCACAAAAAAAGTTAGTACCTTCTTTTCAGTGTTCTCTTCAGTTTTGCTCATTTTGATTCTCTGTGATTTGGGTATGGGTCCACTAATTTCAACAGGATGATCTTGGCCGTTCTTTTTTGATGACGATGTACTGTTTGTCATGCCCCTTTAACACCACCTTCTTGTTACTAATTTGGTGTTGTTGGTTCAATAAAATTAGGGTTTGTTTTCGGCTCAGTTCGATTGGTTGAAGAAATAAGATTGCCTACTGCAGGTTTTAATTACAGATCTATTCCCAGCAAGTCAGATGGAGAGGTATGATGTTAGTGAGGGGTAATTATGTCAATCAAGGAGAGAGTATTAAGTAAAGTTACTAACGAGCCCTTCTTCTAAAGTCGTGGCAAGTTTGATCTGGTGGTTTATACAACTGTATGTTAATGTAGTGTATCTGATTCTTAAGTCGTGTTTGGCTTGTTGGATCGGGGAGACAAAATGAGGAGGATTTGTTTCCAACCCTGAACAGAATTTTTGAGCATGGTGACATCATAAACTGATTTAATAATATTTACTTTTCTATATGTCTAACTCTACTCAAATTTATAGCATAGTAATTGATTTGATCAAATATTATTACTAATATTATCTTAATCTAATCTTATTTAATGTGTATTTTTTTTTTATTACTATAGATGTTTAAACTAATTTGTGTGTATATCAATTATTTTTATAGATCCTCAAGTTAATAATCATGTAAGTCTCAAATGATCCTAAAACTTATGGTGATCTTTAAAAGTAAATCTAGAATCTTACCAGTTAAATTATATATTTAAAGTTTTATTTTTTTGTACTTATTTATTTAGTAGAAGAATATTGTGTATCCTGATTTTAGCATACATGACATTTATTTATTTTCCTTTTTTATTTGTGAGAGCTTCCCATTTTATTCCTTGTTTTATAAACTATAATTATTGGGTTTGTTGTATAAATTTGTTTTTAGCTATAACTATGCTATTATAAAAGGCTTTGGATTATAAATTTTGATATGTACATTTTTTTAGGACACATGCAAAAAACAAAATACACAACTCAATAAAATAAAATAAAATAAAATAAGAAATAATATATACTAATTTACTCAAATTTAGTTATATTTACAAACAATTATAGAAATTTTTTATTAAGTAATATAGAAATTATAATCAATCTATATTAATTAGAGAACAATTAAAAATTTGATTGTGTGAATAACCTTTGCAGATGATCTCAAATCTTTTTTGTTGTCTTATACTCCACCAACTACGTACCTATCAAATTTTCAACAGAATTGTTGATCCAAGAAATGATTTTTGCATTATTTGCTTCCCATGTATATATTAAAAAAGCATCCTCATTCTCAATATTATCAGATATCATATAAGTTCCACTAATATATCCCTACATCTTTTTACCTTTAAGAAAATTTCTTCTCCAATATGAATAATTCTTCCTATCCTACCTCACACTCACAGACTGAAGCGAATCATCTCTTTTAGTAGCTATAATCAACAATCACAGAGAACCAAAATGTAAAAGTAACGAAAAATAAAATACCAAATTTCAGAAATTGAACAGAGATTGTAGAAACTAAATAAATATATTCTTAAAATTATACGATTACTCTAAAATACAAAATAAATTTGCAGAAACTGAACGCAAATACCAAATTGCAAAAGTTGAAGGGAAGACAAAATACCAAAATAATTGCAAAAATTGATGAAATACCAAATTTTACAGAAGTGAAAGATAAAACCTCTTTCAGTTGGATCTGCAAAGCTATGTCCGGGATTAAGCTTCGTTCCATAAAACCAACTCTGATACCATGTTAAAATAATTAAGATCAAGCATAAAAAGAAGGTTAGAATTCTGAATAATCTGTATATTATGAATGTTTAGTCGTAACCTAAATACAAATAAAGTATATATAGGTTAAACTGAAAGTACTATTCTACTATTAATAAATAAGACTATATAAATATTATTTAACAATGGGAACCATAAATCGCTTCTTCTCACCTTCCCCAATGTAAATTGCCAAGAAAACATCAAAGGACCTTGAAGCAGCTTTATTGGCACCAAAAACAGACTGAGGGAGACTTTGTTTAGCAGAAGCAATGGGTAAACGAATAGCCATTGTCGCTTTGTTAACGTATCTAAGGAAGAGGAAACTTGCTGCAACTTACTTGATCTTGCAATTAGAGATATGATTGCAATAACTAATTTATAGCTCGTAATTAGATGGGACACAGATTAGATAAACTGGACGTAAGATGTTGCTATAGAACCTAATAGGTGTACAAGCAAAAATTAGCAAGTGAAAGAAGGTTGAATTACTAGAAGTTGAAGCATATAGTATTATGATCCAATTGAATGGAAATAAACTTTCAACTTGTCAAAGTAAGTTCAAAACATAATGCATCATTAGCAGAGCTTTCTTTTGACCAAATAATTACTAAGTTCAAGGAAATGATCAGCTTGTCACCAATGTTCCTCTCCCCAAAGCTAAAATTAACCTTTTTGTTCAATCATTTAATTCCCTATTGGAATTAATACATAATACCTTTTTGTTTCTCCACTTGGAATAATTTGAATCCCCATGAATAAAGATTCTAGTTTTCAAATATTGACAAATATTTATTTTAAGAAATTAACTCGAACTAAAATTACCAAGAAGAGAATCTTTAATAGGAACAAAAGTCATTAACTTACATATCATAAATTTAAGTACGAGAATGAACAATTAGCTAATGACATTTGTCTATAAAAAAGCAAAGCATTAGCAAACATTAAAAATATAGCAATCCTTTTGACAACAAATGAACTTCAAGTATGTGTTGTTGAGGGAATCCATACAGGTAATGTACTAATAATTACTCATAGGAGGTTAAACACACTAACACAATATTTAAAGTGGTTCGAAAAACCGTCTACATCCATGGAAAAAGCCAATATTATTAGAGATAGATAGAGAAAGGGTTACAATACACATAGAGAAGGAGGATCACTTCACTCAAATTCTACTCCCGTTATTCTCACACACATTGCTGCACATTGCAGCAGGGCTACTGCCCTTGACAACCCCTCTTTCTCTCCTTTTCTCTTCTCTTCACTCTTACTCACTCTCTTTTATTTTGCTCTCAAATAATGCCTCTATTTATAGGCATCAATGGTACGACAACTTGACCATAAACTATGACACTAATGGTGGTAACAAATGGGCTGTACCATTTTTGTCAATGGTTGGTGCAACTACCATTATAGCCTTTTGACAATGGCAACCCTGCTTTTTATGGTAGGTTGCACAAGTTTCTTTCATGATTGCTGTATATTAATTGCAACAATCCTAATAATTACCCCCTTTACCATCCATGTAGGCAATTGTCCTCTTGCTTATTTAGCACAAGCTTGCATTCTGTAGCTCTTCTAAGCTTACCATTCTTAGAGCATCTATGGCCAAATTTACGGGAACTCACCAAACTTTTTAATCACCAGAGTCACCAAAGCACACTTTTTTCACACCAAAGGTTACTTCAACCATATGGTCTCCACATCACATCTGAAAAGTGTTAACGCTTGTTTAAGGGATCTAACATTCCCCTTTGAGCGTGTCAACCATGCTCGATCTGGAATGATTTATCAAGCCTCACACCAAGGCTTACAATACCCCTTCAAACATAAATTTCTATTTCCATATGCGATAGTTATTATCTGAGTATTTTAATATAATCACGAGCTCACCACTCTTCCAAGAGTCTACTCATTTCGGAGTTGCGTCTTCCCTTTGTTCCACTCTAGGAACCACTCCTTACTTTTTCATGAGTCTCTCACTCTTAGTCCAATAGTCCAAGTAGCTCTACACCTTTAACCATGAAGGCAGCCCATCAAAGGTTGATTCATATCTGTCTTCATACTCTGAGTATTACAATGTCATCACCTAGTTCACCACCTTGACAAGAGTCAACTTGTTTCAGGAACCTACGCATGCCTTCTGCTCCTATATAGTAATCACGTCTTAATGCTCTACAAGTCACCCACTTATTGTCCTAGGCAAATGTCTTTTAGCTTATTGACATTTAGCATAAGGGCAATATCCATGAAAGTCAATCCGAAATTTGTCTTCATACTTATCATAACCACTACATTGGCTATCCATACACTTGTCCACTCATATCCAACCATTATATTGGCTCTAAGGTGTTATAAACTAGGGCTCCTATCATGACCCTCACACCTTCTTCTGAGGTGTCTCCACCTATTGTCATGCGACGATCTAATCTTGGATTTATATCATAGTCCTCACACCTCTTCTAAGGTGTCTTCGCTCGTTGTCATGAGGCGGTCTCATCCTCCTAATCGGGGATGACTCTAGCAACTCTAAGATTCTCTACCACCATGTGGACTTAGAAGAGATCATTGTCACTAACTATATAGAAAGAGAGAGTTGCGGTACACTTCTCGCAATCCTCCATCTTGATTTCTATATTTGGAGCTTCTATACCTTTCTGCTTGATAGCTCCACCCGCACTAACTCTTTTTGGTGTTTTTGCCTTTCATAGGCGGTTGCTTTTTATCACAAACGTTTGCACCCCCTCAATTAAGTGCTTTTGCAACAACTCATCTTTCCATCCTTACATGCATTGGAAAAGTCCTCGCCCGTTGCCTTTATCAAGAGCACAAAAGACTTCCTGTTGTATAAATTTTTATAGTTTCTGCTCTAAGCTTCATCTGGGAACTCATATTCTTCTTGTACTTGCTATCTCATTACAGTACCTCATTGGATCCTACAAGTACTTCTGCACAATCTTTGTATGCCTTAGTGCAATTTCTATTTTTCAGATTTCTTCCTATTTCTTGTTTATGTTTGACATCAGCTTATCCTGTCACAACACCTATCTAAGTTAAAATAAGGTGTCAATCTTTATCCTTTTGCTATATTTCTCTTCTATTATTAGGGTCTTCATCAATTCTCCCTTTGAGAAATTATAGTCACCGAATCTAACTTCTTTGGAGAAATCACCACTTCATCAGATCCTTGATCATACGAAACCCAACTATTCCCCTTGTGCCATCATCCTACTAATCTTTAACAGTTTCATAACAAATTGTTACATATACAAAAATAGTACCTCATAGATAATCGTTTAACTAAGCAAGTTCCCAGGAAAGATTGGAGGGGTC